TAGAGCCTTTTGGGCAAAGTTATCACAAGACAAGCCTGGCCCGGGCTTGGGGACGAGAACAACTCCCAGAACCCACTTCAGGTCTACTGCAGGTCTACTGCAGGTCTACTCCAGGTCTACTCCAGGTATACTAACAATCATACACCCTGTAGCAGCTGCAGATATTCCCCCCCCCCCCAGTTTTATATCTAAACATAAACCAATAGAAACCAACGTGAACTGCCGCGTCGGGTAATTTAATCTCTCGACAAACTATTGAATCCGACGTTTATTGTTCCCGCTGGATAGATGTGAAGCTCCTGTCTATTTATGTACACGGTTGACGCACCAAACTATCAATCTTATCCAGTCCCAGCCACCTGGCGACACTAATTCTGCTGCTGCCCCCCCCCCTCCTCCTGCTGAGCTGTCTAGCCTATCATGACGCCTGTCTATCATGTCAAACTGTCTAATGTATCATGGCACTTCTGTCAAAATTGTGTTTTTTCCTGTCAATTTGTGTAATAATTATGTTTAAGAGCACATCATAAACACTTAATGTTTGCCTGATCAGCCCGGCTGTGGTGCTTATGTTGGGGTAGCGTCAGCCGTTGAATTGCGAGCTGCGAGCACCCACAGTTTAGCTGGTCAGGACGTCAACCAGAGACTAACCACCCTGGAAACACAAACCGAAACTGTCTCTATTTTCCGCTTGTTACAACTTGTAATAAAGTTGTTACATCTTGGCTTAACGTGTTTATGACGTATTAGAACGTTGTTACAACTTGCTATATTGGTTGTTATAACTGGTTAGGTGGTGTTAAATCTTGTTCGAACGTTGTACCAACGTCGTAGTTTCGGTGTGTGTTTGGGGGGCAGAGAGCAATCTACATACGCAGTAGGATAGATGGGGGGTAGAATTGTCATACATTCGAACTATTATGGGGGGGAAATGAGGTGAAGCCGTCGGCTTCTTGTCCCCCGTCGAAGCCACTAGAGAGATGGTAGCCCCATCGGGTAAATTCAGGTGCACATTAGCCCCAGGCGGCGTCAATATTGTGGCGGTAATAATCCCACTAATGCATCTGGAATCTTGTCACTGTGGTAGAGAACATCGATCTTGCAGTGCATTAAGTACGACTGACAGATGCCTACTACTAATAAGTATGCGGACAGACAGAGGGGACGGAGTATGTTGCTGTCAAACTGCTTACTTCCTCAAAGCACATCAACCGTCCTCTGTCTATGAACTGCTTGCTGTCAAACTGTATTGTATCTTGATGGGGTTCTGGGAGTTGTTCTACTCCCCAAGCCCGGCCCGAGGCCAGGCTTGATTTGTGAGAGCTGTTACCTATCGCTCGTCACGGCTCGTGACCCTACAACAGCCATACTTTAATATGTCTAGGGATACTACAACTGCTGTTGTCTAGAGCGGGTCACCAGTGTAACCCCCTAATTGGTACAAAGCACTTAGTAAAATTTCTCCTTTAGGACTGAAGAAATATACATATAAATTTTAATATATATATTAACAATATAATCAAAATTATATTAAGTACATATAAGACAAGATCAATTATAAAACAAAATTAGAAATACTATTTCCTCCCAGAATAAAGGTCTACATGACAACAACAACAAGTAAACAGACTTAACTCCCACATGTTACTCCTCCTGGGCCCTTCGAAGCTACTTTCACATATCCACACATTAAAACATTGATTGTAACCATGATATATATGTGCTTCAGCCTACAGTTTAGACCTATTGTCTTGTGTATGACCCTCTGTCCTGCGTGACAGTGAATACTAGCATTATCCTCAATTTAATAAGACCTATCAAAATCCTCAGATTAGGCAAAATTGTAATTAATTTTGTCAATAAAGATGTTAATAATAATAACTGACTCTCGCGCGCCGTCTCTACTCATAATTCTCTCCCCCCCTCTGCCTCATCCAGGATGAGGGATGGAAAATACAGACTTTTTAATATTTAAAACTAATTGAACAACCACTTGTTCTCAAAATACATAAGAATGCAAATAAAATATAATAGTTACTTTCAAAATATATAAGTTACAATGCCACCTGCTTAATTACAGTAAATTAACAATTATAGGACTATTAAAAGGTGACATCTGGAACTCCCATAACTGAACAGGTCCAGCAATTCTAATTTCCCGAATCTAACAGGTATTAGACGTGTGAAGAGCAACCGCGCTCCTGTCCCCACTGATATTGTCACACCACACGATAATTTACAAAAATATAATATATATGCAGGTAATGATGAAATGGAACAAAATACGTTTATTTAAATTTATATACGTATCCAGCTAGGAGTAGGTAACAAGAGCTTGGTCCACCAGGCTGTTGCTTGGGGTCCACAATGGACCAATTGTGAGCTTCTGTTGCTCTATATATCTTATGTTAATTATTGATGACAAAGGTATGATTGAGACCCCGGCGGTTCTCCCGTTCGTAAACACCCCAGGTTACCTTACCTTACCTTGGAGTTACCTTGGAGTTGTTCCGGGGCTTAACGTCCCCGCGGCCCGGTCATTGACCAGGCCTCCTCGATGCTAGACTGGTCAACCAGGCTGTTTCACGCGGCTGCTCGCAGCCTGACGTATGAATCACAGCCTGGTTGATCAGGTATCCTTTGGAGGTGTTTATCCAGTTCTCTCTTGAACACTGCGAAGGGTCAGTCAGTTATGCCCCTTATGTGTAGTGGAAGCGTATTGAACAGTCTCGGGCCTCTGGGGTAGTTCCATTAGCTCCAGGTAGTTCCATTAACAAGGGGAAAAGATCTTTCCAGCAGAGAATAAGTCACAATAACCAGGACGAATCAAGACAACCCGATCCCACACAAACCCAAAAGCAAAAATACGATCCCAAATACAAACCATAGAGGTTTCGGCCCGTCCTGGACGGTCCGAAAATGCATTGAAGTCGTCGCTTCAATGCATTTATGTGTGGATTCTATTCACATAGAATACAAAAAAGGAGCCAGATTCACGAGGCAGTTACGCAAGCACTTACGAACCTTTCCACCTTTCTTCAATCTTTGGCGGTTTTGTTTACAATTATTAAACAGTTAATGAGCTCCGAAGCACCAGGAGGCTGTTCATAACTATAACAACAGTTGATTGGCAAGTTGGCATGCTTGTAAACTATTTAATAAATGTAACCAAACCCGTCAAAGATTGAGGAAAGATGTACACGTTCGTTAGTACTTGCGTAACTTCGTGAATCTGGCCCCAGACACCTACTGGGCCCCCAGCTCTGAGCGCCCGGCATGCACTCCCCCACCACTGAAACAAGGGGTTGTATCTCACCCTTTGTACCCACACTTAACACTCGGAGCCCACGTCTCAAAACTCCATTATAAAATAACTTACTAGAGTGAGGTAACAGGTGCTAAATATAAAAATAGTATAAAATAATATATATATATATATATATATATATATATATATATATATATATATATATATATATATATATATATATATATATATATATATATTAGCCGAAAAAACAGGTCTTGAGGAATGGACAGGGGTCGGTAAGGTTGTCACGGGTGCGAGGGCATGCAGAGTGCAAACAGCAATAGGTTGAGTGATCGGGTCAAAAGGAAACTAGGTTATCTGTCTGAACTGGACTGTAAATAAACTCTTAGAAGCCTTTCGCAGTCTGCTTGTATATCCACACACGCCCCTAACAACCCCACACACACGCCCCTAACAACCCCACACACACGCCCCTAACAACCCCCACACACGCCCCTGACAACCCCACACACACGCCCCTATAACCCCCACACACGCCCCTGAACTGGGTGCAGGAGGGAGTAACGCAACTCGGTGGATTGAGCGAGATAATTGGCCGTGATAGCCTTCTGTGGTGGGAGGCAAGGAGATATGTGATTGGCTGGTTCGAGGCAAGGAAAGATGTGATTGGCCAATTGTGTTTGCTAAACTCCAATCACTCCCCGGAATTCGTACCAACGACCAATCATCCCCCCCCCTTTTTTTTCCTTTTCCACATGTGTGGAGGGCAGTTGTGTGGTCGTATTTACTAGGTCGTGTGGTCGTATCAGCCAGGTGACACACTTAAGCGTACTCGCCTAAAGCTGCTAGTTAAGTCGAGTGCTAACTCCTGGGCCTCGCCTTACCCGAGGTCGGCCACCAAATGCAACCAATCCCGACCCTCGTATCCCATATCATATGGACTTGTGAAACTGCTTATTGTGCAAGTTTCTCCTATCTATCTATCCCTATATTGCGACTCCTGTCCTCACCACTCACTCTAATACCGTTATTGGCATCCTTTGGACTCATCCAAAAGAGAGAGAGAGAGAGAGAGAGAGAGAGAGAGAGAGAGAGAGAGAGAGAGAGAGAGAGAGAGAGAGAGAGAGAGAGAGAGAGAGAGAGAGAGAGAGAGAGAGAGAGAGAGAGAGAGAGAGAGAGAGAGAGAGAGAGAGAGAGAGAGAGAGAGAGAGAGAGAGACAGAGACAGACAGAGAGAGAGATCGCTAACTGGCTTCCACCTTGAGACCTAACCGGTCATCCATCTCCGTCTCCACACTGATAAGCGATGGATGACACGGGGAGGTGGATGGCTGTTGCGTGGATTACAGAGAGAGACTGAGGGCGGGTGAGGGAGGGGGGAGGTGAAAGGCTGTGAGGGAGAAGGGGGGGGGGGGGGGGGAAGAAGAGGGTAAGAAAGTGAGCAAATATGGAGGAGGAAAGAGGAAGCAATCAGACAGGAGGGCTTTAAATGTTCCTACAGATAAGTACAACCAGGTGAGTACATGGGGTGGGCACATATATACCTCCAGGTATATATATACCTGGAGGTACATACATACATACATACACATATATACAGGAAAAATATTTGTAATGATTTGGATGACAAAAACTAGAACAAAACGAACAAAAGAACAAACAAATAAATATATATCTAACAATATATTGCTTGACCCAACAAGTGCTAACAAGAGAACAAAAGAACACGCTCAGACACACAAGACCTGGAGGGCGAGGTACATGGAGGGCGAGGTACATGGAGGGCGAGGTACATGGAGGGCGAGGTACATGGAGGACGAGGTACATGGAGGGCGAGGTACATGGAGGGCGAGGTACATGGAGGGCGAGGTACATGGAGGACGAGGTACATGGAGGGCGAGGTACCTGGAGGACGAGGTACATGGAGGGCGAGGTACATGGAGGGCGAGGTACATGGAGGGCGAGGTACATGGAGGGCGAGGTACCTGGAGGACGAGGTACATGGAGGGCGAGGTACATGGAGGGCGAGGTACATAGAGGACGAGGTACATGGAGGGCGAGGTACATGGAGGGCGAGGTACATGGAGGGCGAGGTACATGGAGGGCGAGGTACATGGAGGGCGAGGTACATGGAGGGCGAGGTACATGGAGGGCGAGGTACATGGAGGACGAGGTACATGGAGGGCGAGGTACATGGAGGGCGAGGTACATGGAGGGCGAGGTACATGGAGGACGAGGTACATGGAGGGCGAGGTACATGGAGGGCGAGGTACATGGAGGACGAGGTACATGGAGGGCGAGGTACATGGAGGGCGAGGTACATGGAGGGCGAGGTACATGGAGGACGAGGTCCCTGGAGGGCGAGGTCCCTGGAGGACGAGGTACCTGGAGGACGAGGTACCTGGAGGGCGAGGTACCTGGAGGGCGAGGTACCTGGAGGACGAGGTACATGGAGGGCGAGGTCCCTGGAGGACGAGGTACATGGAGGGCGAGGTACATGGAGGACGAGGTCCCTGGAGGGCGAGGTCCCTGGAGGGCGAGGTCCCTGGAGGACGAGGTCCCTGGAGGACGAGGTACCTGGAGGACGAGGTACATGGAGGGCGAGGTACATGGAGGGCGAGGTACATGGAGGACGAGGTCCCTGGAGGGCGAGGTACCTGGAGGACGAGGTACCTGGAGGGCGAGGTACCTGGAGGGCGAGGTACCACACTGCCCCGTGGTCCAGGCTGGACTGAGGACAACCACACAACCGTTACAACTTGGATCGGAGCACAAACAAAATGAAAGAAAACGGAAGAATGGGAAACAGAAATAAAGGGAAGCTTGAGAATCAGACGGAAGCTTAAGAATCAGACGGAAGCTTAAGAATCAGACGGAAGCTTAAGAATCAGACGGCAGACGGAAGCTTGAGAATCAGACGGAAGCTTAAGAATCAGACGGCAGACGGAAGCTTGAGAATCAGACGGAAGCAGGGCAGGGCAGAAAAGGGCAAGAGTCATTCATTGCCTTTGACAACCAGAAGCGATAAGGGGGTGGAGTCCAGGAGCTAACGCTCTGCCCTGCAGGCACAAGGGGGTGAGAGACCCCCCCCCCCCCCGGCACCTTATAAACACCGTCGCCGCGATTGTGGAACAAAAAAAAAAGCCCTAATGACAAATCGCACCGTCGCCCATTTTTCTTTTTAATTCGACAGGACGGCCGACCTTTTTTTCACACTCCTAACTTTTGTGGGAAAATATTGGTGTGTGAGCCATTACTCTTGTTGACGGCCTGGGGCAGGGCGTGCGGGCGCGCGCGCACACTCTCGCAGAGATAAGCTGGCCGGGTTGAGAGCTATCTCCCAAGCCCCGCCTCGCCTGTTGAAGGGTATGACCCCCCCCTGATCTCACGTGGGTCCACTGTTAAATGATGTTACACACACACACACACACACACACACACACACGCACACGCACGCACACACACACACACACGCACACACACACACACACACACACACACACACACACACACACACACACACACACACACACACACACACACACACACACACACACACACACGCACACTCTCACACACGCACACTCTCACACTCTCTCTGAATCTGTTACTGTGCGGAAGGGAGGGAACTATCAGGGGAAAGGTGCCAAGTCATTACGACTATATAGCACTGGGAAGGGGTCAGCTGGATAAGGATTTGGGATGGGACGGGGGAGGCAGGAAGGAGTGGTGCCCAACCCACTTGTAGACGCTCGGGGATTGAACGCCGACTTCCATGAAGGCAGACCGTCGCTCTACCGTCCAGCCCAAGTGACATGAGCTGTAAGGAAGTGTTTCCAGACGGAGGGGTCGACCAGCTCTCCAACCCCCCCCCCTCCCTCCTCACCTAATACATCGCAAATTTAACGGATTCGACCAATCCGTTAAAAATGCGAACGTATTAATACAAATTCAAGCACCGAAATATTGACGTTTTCTATGGATTGGCCTCGATAGGTTAAGTGAGTTGCCTGGGTTCATATGTTTCTAGTTAGGCGAAACGGTCGCATTTCTTTCGGAGCGGCAAATCGATTCTAAATGTTAAGTCAGGGAGCATGGTAATGATAAATTACCTAGTCACTATAATGGGATCGAATTCGCGTCCCAGGACTTCTCAATACACCAAGAATATTACACCATCACTCCTCTCCTCCTTCTCTAAAGTGTGGAGGCCGGGGGGGGAGGAGGAGGGGGGATTACAGAGCATGTTAAATACAAACATGACGCCTCAATTCGTAACAATTTTCTCAAATCGTTACAGTTCTAGTTTTACTGAACACGTGAACAACCGTAAACAAGTTGTATCGTTCATCATTAACTGAACAACGAACACCATTTATAATATGTATAGTGGCGATAATCCTCTACCATAGTTACCAGGGAGCCTCGCTTGGCTGTTCCCTTACAACTCATTGGCAGGAAGGGGTCGCAGGAGGGGCGGGAAGGGGTCGCAGGAGGGGCGGGAAGGGGTCGCAGGAGGGGCGGGAAGGGGTCGCAGGAGGGGCGGGAAGGGGTCGCAGGAGGGGCGGGAAAGGGTCGCAGGAGGGGCGGGAAGGGGTCGCAGGAGGGGCGGGAAGGGGTCGCAGGAGGGGCGGGAAGGGGTCGCAGGAGGGGCGGGAAGGGGATGGCAGGAGGGGCGGGAAGGGGGTGGCAGGAGTGGCGGGAAGGGGTCGGCAGGAGGGGCGGGAAGGAATCGCAGGAGGGGCGGGAAGGAATCGCAGGAGGGGCGGGAAGGGGTCGCAGGAGGGGCGGGAAGGGGATGGCAGGAGGGGCGGGAAGGGGTCGCAGGAGGGGTGGGAAGGGGTCGCAGGAGGGGCGGGAAGGGGGTCGCAGGAGGGGCGGGAAGGGGGTGGCAGGAGTGGCGGGAAGGGGTCGGCAGGAGGGGCGGGAAGGGGTCGCAGGAGGGGCGGGAAGGGGTCGCAGGAGGGGCGGGAAGGGGTCGCAGGAGGGGCGGGAAGGGGTCGCAGGAGGGGCGGGAAGGGGTCGCAGGAGGGGCGGGAAGGGGTCGCAGGAGGGGCGGGAAGGGGTCGCAGGAGGGGCGGGAAGGGGTCGCAGGAGGGGCGGGAAGGGGTCGCAGGAGGGGCGGGAAGGGGTCGCAGGAGGGGCGGGAAGGGGTCGCAGGAGGGGCGGGAAGGGGTCGCAGGAGGGGCGGGAAGGGGTCGCAGGAGGGGCGGGAAAGGGTCGCAGGAGGGGCGGGAAGGGGTCGCAGGAGGGGCGGGAAGGGGTCGCAGGAGGGGCGGGAAGGGGTCGCAGGAGGGGCGGGAAGGGGTCGCAGGAGGGGCGGGAAGGGGTCGCAGGAGTGGCGGGAAGGGGTCGCAGGAGGGGCGGGAAGGGGTCGCAGGAGGGGCGGGAAGGGGTCGCAGGAGGGGCGGGAAGGGGTCGCAGGAGGGGCGGGAAGGGGTCGCAGGAGGGGCGGGAAGGGGTCGCAGGAGGGGCGGGAAGGGGTCGCAGGAGGGGCGGGAAGGGGTCGCAGGAGGGGCGGGAAAGGGTCGCAGGAGGGGCGGGAAAGGGTCGCAGGAGGGGCGGGAAGGGGTCGCAGGAGGGGCGGGAAGGGGTCGCAGGAGGGGGGGGAAGGGGTCGCAGGAGGGGCGGGAAAGGGTCGCAGGAGGGGCGGGAAGGGGTCGCAGGAGGGGCGGGAAGGGGTCGCAGGAGTGGCGGGAAGGGGTCGCAGGAGGGGCGGGAAGGGGTCGCAGGAGGGGCGGGAAGGGGTCGCAGGAGGGGCGGGAAGGGATCGCAGGAGGGGCGGGAAGGGGTCGCAAGAGGGGCGGGAAGGGGTCGCAGGAGGGGCGGGAAGGGGTCGCAGGAGGGGCGGGAAAGGGTCGCAGGAGGGGCGGGAAGGGGTCGTAGGAGGGGCGGGAAGGGGTCGCAGGAGGGGCGGGAAAGGGTCGCAGGAGGGGCGGGAAGGGGTCGCATGAGGGGCGGGAAGGGGTCGCAGGAGGGGCGGGAAAGGGTCGCAGGAGGGGCGGGAAGGGGTCGCAGGAGGGGCGGGAAGGGGTCGCAGGAGGGGCGGGAAGGGGTCGCAGGAGGGGCGGGAAGGGGTCGCAGGAGGGGCGGGAAGGGGTCGCAGGAGGGGCGGGAAGGGGTCGCAGGAGGGGCGGGAAGGGGTCGCAGGAGGGGCGGGAAGGGGTCGCAGGAGGGGCGGGAAGGGGTCGCAGGAGGGGCGGGAAGGGGTCGCAGGAGGGGCGGGAAGGGGTCGCAGGAGGGGCGGGAAGGGGTCGCAGGAGGGGCGGGAAGGGGTCGCAGGAGGGGCGGGAAGGGGTCGCAGGAGGGGCGGGAAGGGGTCGCAGGAGGGGCGGGAAGGGAAGGAACGAGAATGAAACATAAAACGGGGGGAAATGAAGGAAGGAATAATGGAGAACATGGAACTATTTTAACGCAGAGACCATGAGAGACAAAGAACAAAATTGCACATGGGAATGTATCACCAAGAGCCACGAGAGCAAGAGCCACGAGAGCAAGAGCCACGAGAGCAAGAGCCACGAGAGCAAGAGCCACGAGAGCAAGAACACAGTTATCAGACAAAGATAGCAAGAGAGGAGAATAAGATGATCAAGATAGCACATCTAGCGTCGTCTTCTCTCGCCGTAAATCTGACAATGTCGATATCTACGATTTATTTAGTAATTGTTCAGACGATCTCCCCCTCACCCCCCCCCCCACGGAGCAGCTTGTGCAGTCTCCTCCCACGCCATCTCCCACCCCTTGTCGGTCTCACACTCCTGGGAGTGGCGTGGTGAGACGCCATTACAACCCATGGGAGGTGTGGGAGGACGCTCCCAGTACGCTAATGTAAGTCCCTTCCTGTCTCACCTGCCCGGCGCCCCTACCTTTGTATCTGGGGGGGGGGCAGTCACGAAGCAGTTACGCAAGCACTTACGAACGTGTACATCTTTCTTCAATCTTTGACGCCTTTGGTTACGTTTATTAAACAGTTTACAAGCATGAAGACTTCCTAGTTAACTGTTGTTATTGTTATAAACAGCCTCCTGGTGCTTCGGAGCTCATTAACTGTTTAATAATTGTAAACAATGCCGCCAAAGATTGAGAAAAGATGGACAGGTTCGTAAGGGCTTGCGTAACAGCTTCGTGAATCTGACTCCTGGCTCCTGCCGCGGCCTCCCAAGTTAACACATGCACCAGGTACACGAGCGCCGAAGGATAGCGCACTGGAGTCGAAGGCCAAAGGGCCTGGGTTCGATACCCAGAGGGTGGTAGGGGTGGTATGGAGGGGGGGGGGGCAGAAACAAATGGGTAGACTTTCCTTCAACTGATGCGTCTGTTCACCAAGTAGTAAATAGGTACCTGGGAGTTAGACCGCTGCTTCCTGAGAATATGTATGTGTGTGTGTGTGTGTGTGTGTGTGTGTGTGTGTGTGTGTGTGTGTGTGTGTGTGTGTGAGAAGTAGTAGTCGTAGTAGTTAGAAACAGTTGATTGACAGTTGAGAGGCAGGCCGAAAGAGCAGAGCTCAACCCCCGCAAGCACAACTAGGTGAATATACACACACACACACACACACACACACACACACACACACACACACACACACACACACACACACACACACACACACACACACAATGAATAAGTC